GGATTGTCAGCATGCCTGCAGAGTGGTTGCCTTAGAAATGATGTCAGGAGAAGTAAAAGGAATGCTGCCTAGCTTTCCTTCTTCTGGCGTACCTGATGTGAGGCTGGACACAGAATGACTGCAAAAATTTATTGTAAAGAGCCCATAACATTTGGAATCACAAGACCTATTGTAGCCATGTGGCTTTGGGCAAATTACCCAGTCTTATTAAATACTTCATTTAATCAATGGAAATAATACTAACTGCACCACTATTCTTTTTAAAGTTAGTGCAAGAATACAATTACAAAAATACATGAAGGCTGGGTGCAGTGGCTCACACCTGCAATCCCAGCACTTTGTGAAGCCAAGGCTGGTGGATCGCTTGAGACCAGGAGTTCAAGACCGGCCTGGCCAACATGGTGAAACCATGTCTCTGCTAAAAATACTAAAATTAGCTGGGCATGATAGTGCATGCCTGTAATCCCAGGCACTTGGGAGGCTGAGACAGGAGGATCACTTGAGCCTGGGAGGTGTAGTTTGTAGTGAGCCAAGATAGTGCCACTGTACTCCAGCCTGGGTGACAGAGCAAGACAAGAAAGAAAAAGAAAAAGAAAAAGAAAAAGAAAAGGAAGGAAGGAAGAAAAGAAAAGAAAGAAAAGAAAAGAAAAGAAAGAAAGAGAAAGAAAAGGAAAGAAAGGGAAGGAAGGAAGGAAGGAAAGAAAAAGAGAAAGAAAGAAAGAAGGAAAGAGAGAGAGAGAATGGAAAGAAAAGAAAAAAGAAAGAAAGAGAGAAAGAAAGAAGGAAGGAAAGAAGGAAGGAAGGGGAAGGGGAAGAGAAAGGAGGAAGGAAAGAAGGGAGGGAGGGAGGGACAGATGGAGGGAGGGAGGGAGGGACAGATGGAGGGCGGGAGGGAGGGAGGGAAGGAAAGAAGGAAAGAAGAAAAGAAGGAAAGGAAAGAGAAAGAACAGAAGAATATACATGAAAATAATATAATTAGCAAAGGCCTATATAGATACTGGTTAATTTCTCCATTACCAGAATATTTCTGGTTAGTACATACATAGTTAAGATTAATAAATCTATAATGATTGATTGGAATTTATTCATGACAAGACCTACAATGGTAGAATCCCCAAAATGACTTGATGAGACTTCCAGATAGAAAAGCAGATTATTCACATGACTAGAGACCACCTACAGAAAGCAGCCCAAGGAAATTCTTCAGGGTACAAAAACAAAGCTGTTGATTACAAATGAACTCAGAATTTAACTCTGGTTTTAATAGTTGTTAAGGCAAAAGGGAATGGCCATGTGTTCACTATTATTTGAGATTCAAAGAACAGAATATGTTTGCTTCTTTAACTTGATTTTTTTAAATTAAGATGTCTTTCCCAGTCCCAAATTATCTGCATAAATGACTTTTCTGCAAAGGCAGATGAGCAAATGAGTGCTATTTATAGTAGAATCACATAGTAAGCAAAGGAGATATTGTATGATTAGCTTTTCAAATGGCTACAAAGAAATGTAAATAAAATAGTCAAAACATATATCCAAAGGATTATAAATCATTCTACTATAAAGACACATATGCATGTATATTTATTGCAGTACTATTCACAATAGCAAAGACTTGGAACCAACCCAAATGCCCATCAATGACAGACAGGATAAAGAAAATGTGGCACATACATACCATGTAATACTATGTAGCCCCTAAAAAGTAGGAGTTCATGGCCTTAGCAGGGATGTGGATGAAGCTGGAAACCATCATTCTCAGCAAACTACCACAAGAACAGAAAACCAAACACTACGTGTTGTCACTCATAAGTAGGAATTGAACAATGAGAACACATAGCCACAGGGAGGGTAACATCACACACTGGGGCCTTTTGGGATGTGGGGATCTAGGGGAGGAATAGCATTAGGGGATACACCTAATGTAGATGACAGGTTGATGTATGCAGCAAACCGCCATGGCACATGTGTACCTGTGTAACAAACCTGCATGTTCTTTGCAAGTATCCCAGAACTTAAAGTATAATAATAATAACAATTGCTTAAATTACCCCAAAACATGAAGGATCAGAAAAATATACATATTATATATATATATATACATATATTTATATTTATATTTAACTGGGCATGCCCGGAACAGCCAAAGGAAAGAAGTAAATGTCTAATGGTGTGTTGGTGGCTATGAGTGCCTTTAAAGGTTTGGAGTTTTGTTGCATTGATTTGCATAGCTCTTTCTTATTTAACACCTAATTACATTCCCCTGCAAGCTTGTAAATTTTCTCTCCACTCAATTATTAACCACTACTGAAGTGATATTTTTAAAACCTAACCTAGAAACTTAATGAGAACAAGGTAAGGTCTATCATGAGATAGGCTTCACCAAGAAGCCAAGAATTTTATTTCTTGGTCATTAGAAACTAACCTGAGATACTGATATAATTAACTTTCAGTATGGCTAAGAAAAACAAACAAGTATTCCCTGAATTAGTAAAATGAAACTCGTTTTACAGAATCGTGTTTTTTTCTTTCTTTTCTTTTTTTTTTTTTTTTTTTTTGTATTAATCTATCATGGTGGCGGTATAAATGGTGGTAGTCGTAATAGCAGTGCCAGACATGCTGGTAATTGTAGTAGCAGTTTCTTGTTCTTTGTAGGTGTGGCAACTTTAATATTCATAGTAATATAATTGATTTTAATGTTCTGGTAATAAAAGAATCAAGCTATATCCATGGCTTTTACATGTTAACAAATTATTCTATATTTCTACGGAGTTCTTTGGAAACAACTTGAAATTTCCCTTCTGACATTTGAGAAATTGTAGATTTGGGAAACATTTTCCCAATGAAAAGAAATAACAGTTAATGGTTGCTGTGATCTGAAAACTGGGTTATTGAAAGTGGAGAGCAGTTTTCCTGATAAATCTATGTAGAAACATTGAGGGGAATATATACATTATATATATATATTTAAAAAAATATATATATATATATAATATATATATATATTATTTATTTAAAAACTAACAGTAAGTATGAAGTGTCCAAAATGATCAATGCTCTTACATTTTGCAACAGTATATTTTTAGGGATTGCTGCTGTTTTTCTTACAAAGTTGTCTTGGAGAATGGATTTTGTATTTATGTAAGATTATCTTCCCTCCTTGAATAACTGCCCTTCATTCCCCAAGTTAAGCAGTTTTTTCTGTTTGTACACGGAGAATATAAAGAAGAGAAATAACCTACCTGGAGCTGTTTTCTCTGAAATAACACTTTCAGAGTCTAATTCAGACATTTCCCTTAAAAGATTGTATCTATAGAATTTTTGTATTCATTTTAACGATGACATTATAAATGCATGCTGGTGAGGATAGGAGAAAAAATAGAGACACTGAAAAACAGTTACTCTTCATGTTTATAATGTTAAGGATGTGATATTGCACTTTGAATATTAGGAATATGACTGAAAATCCAGAGAGAAATATAATAAAAGCAATGACCATATCACCATAACATTTTTTAATACACTTGAGCTATGTGAAATTACAAATGTACAAAATTCTGCTTAAGACATCAGTTATTTATTTTAAAAGAGTGCTTGGCAAATAAGCAAGAAGTCATGGTGATAAAAATACACATTGAAGATTTTTCCAGTTAAAATATTTTTTAAGATGAATAGCTATAGTTTAATTATGCTTTTGATGAAAAGTTAAAAGGTAGTCAAAGGAAAGAAGGTGTTATCAAAAAGAAATTAATTTCTAAGTAAATAACTATAGGTGTAATTCTGCAATAACCTGCAGAATTTAGAACATCACAATTTGGAATTTGAAACAATGAAGACTGCAAAATGCCAATGAAATATTTATTCAGACCTTAAAATGAGTTATCAAAGTAACATTTTTTGAGCTTCAAATATTGCATTGCTTCTTTATTGTTTCTTGTGAATGTAGAAAAATGATTTATATTAGTCTTGGGTATCTAATTAAATCATGACTACCCATACATTACATCACATTGTCACAAATAATTTGCTTTGCATTTTATTTGTGTGTGTGCATTTGCATATGTATTTTAATTGTGTATTTCTTAGATTAATATTAAAATTAGTTAGCATTCCCTGAGCTGACTCTCCTTTCAGGCAGCTAAAGACTTTGTAGGCAAGAAGCCAGCACAGGATTAACAATTTGTCATGGATAATCCGCAAAGTAAATAAACCTAGTGTGAAAAATTGAAAGTGGGTTAGACTTGTAACATAGGAGCTATTGAAAGTTAATTCAAAGCTGAAGTCCTCCATAGTAAATTCCCTCTCATTATCCAACTGCTAGAATAGACTGGCATTGATTAAATCTCTAAATAGAGAGGCATTTGTGCATGGTCAATGTTTTACCATCTTATCTGCAAACATATAGACTTTATCTTCTTGACAGTGTGCTGATAATATAGAGACTTGAGCAATCCAAGAAATGTGAAATCTTCACTGTGGGTGTTTAGCACCCTTTCAACTTTCAAGGAAAAAAAAAAGCATCAGAACATTTTCTGCGTTTTAGCAGGTGTCATTTCTAAAATGTCCTATGCCGAGATGGTAGGTTAAATAAATATCATGAAACTGAATTCACTCATTCAAAAGACTTGTATGGTAACCTAGTGTTAAAATAACAAGGGATTAATAATGGCAAATTGAATATTTTAATTACTTATCATACAGTATTAGCATTTTTAGACTACTAATCTCATCCAGATAATACTCACTTTTCCCACAATTAAAATTGTGCATGTTTTAGATTTTGGATTTGCCAGTCTGCAAGGTTCTACCAAATCGTATCAGAATTTGTTACTTAATCCAGACCAAGTATTGTTAATTAGACACTAAGATATTAAATATCTTTTTTTCCAGCTACCGTGACATTTTATTTTAAAAATTTGACTGTAATGGAGTTGGAAGTATTTTAATTATAATTTTATATGGGCGTCTTTTTCTGAACATGTTTCCTATTTTTCTGTTTCTAGGTTTCATATACACTGGAGAAGTTGTACATCGGATGCTAACAGCTACACAGTACATAGCACCTTTAATGGCAAATTTCGATCCCAGTGTATCCAGAAATTCAACTGTCAGATATTTTGATAATGGTATGTATTGATTAGCATATATTTTGCTGCATATTTATTTTTAACCTCAAGCATCAGATTCATGTTAATGTTTTGTGGACTCTATATTTTTTTGGTGTGTAAACTGCTTAATGCAAATGGTCTGAGATGACAAATGTTATACTGTTAACTGTTAAGATTTATAAAGTACACAAATGACATTTATCCAACATGTTTATTAACATATACTATACACAATAGAAATGAGTTGCTGTAGACAAGACCTCAAAGCAAATGTATTTTTGATGCATTTCAATAAGTTTTTGATGCTATTTCAGTAAATCAGTTTTCCAATTTTACCATCAGAAAAAAAATGGAAATTAGAATAATTTTCTTAGTTCTGATCTTCCAGTAGAAGCCAGTGGCATAATATAGTGATATAAAATTTCTAGAACTTATGACTTGTATGTATCCATAAGATTAACACATATTTTTAAAAGTATAAAGTAGTGTGGGTAGTTCAACTTAAGAAAATAAAGTTTTCTTGACTTTAAAAAATGAGTGAGAGTCCATTAAGATTTATCAAATACACCAAGAGCAATATATCCCTGCTATTACTTTTTGTGACATATGAAGTAGAGAAAAAACTAGAATATATCGTTAAATGCTGCCAAAATCCAAGTGAGAAATTCAAGGTCTTAGAGACACAAATGAATTTTCATCTCAACATCTTATCGAAAGCCGTATCTTTGGTAGAGAAAATAAATTATAGGTAAAAAAGTGTTGATATTGGAAAGATTAATTAAATTTAAAATTTTCTGTGTATTTATCATTCACAAATGGTATTTATTTGTTCAAATGACAATTTTATACCTGCAAATTGTACAAGCATTTGGGGTGAACAGAATTATTACTGCTCTTATTTCTGTTGATCAAGGAAGAAATTTATTTGTGGTTGAAATAGACTTGATGGTAGCAGTAGCCTTGGAAAAATATGATCATTTTGCTAAGAGCAGCCTCCTAACCAGTGTGATGAAGCCATTTTACAGTTCAAAATAGCACAGTGGGATACTAACCACAGCTAGATATTCACTAGGAATACACTTTGAACAATTTGAGTAACACCAAGGTATGATCCAATGTTAAGTAACTCGAAATATTAACTATAATGATTTCTCTCTATTATTTTAAAAACATATATTCTCTTCCATTTCTTAAAACCTCACAAGGTGCTAACACCCAAGGATGTGCAAGTAGAGTGTAAATACAGTATGCTTGAGGCAAAACTGCAGCCAGAAACTTATCTGAAACTTATTCTATGATTCCCATACAAAATTGCCTTGGGAATCTATCCTGAGGAAATAATGAATGATTTAATGAAAATTGACTATTTTCCAAGCTCCGACACTCACTAGATGATATTAGAGTCATTTACTTATGGGCACATAATTCAAATGACCATGTTTTTATAATGTTGGTATCAAAATCATAAAGCATATTAAATAAGTCTCTCTCCATATATTCTCATATACCTTGTTTCTGGGTAGCTCTTAATATTTGAATTTTACATGTATTTGATTGATTTTTTAAAAATTGATGTGTACTACTCCAACTGAACTTTAAGTTCTTTAAAAACAAGGGCTGTGGCTATTTATAAGAAATCATTTTATCTCCGGTACCCTGCATAGATTTTTAATAGGCATGGACCCTAAATAATTATTTAATGAATGAATAAAAATAATTAAATGTATAAAGTGAGTATTTATTTCTGGGAATTATAAAAGCATTATTATTCAAAAATGCATGTATTTTTTACCCACTGAAATATCTTCTGTGTAATGACATTCCATAGGAATCTAATATTGAGAAATATTGAGTTCAAACAATATGAAAATGAAAGCTTGCATTTTATTAAATGAGGGAAACACTTTTAAATACTGTAAGCCTCTTCACAAAGTCCTTTTTTACCACGGCAACTTGCTGAAATATTTTCAAGCTTGGTTAGAATCATTGGGAGCATACTTAAAGATTGGAAACTCAACAATTTAGGAAAGCAGTCTTCTCTGGAGAAGATAGCAACAGGTCAGAAAATTTAAATCAGTAAGTGTTGAGAGGGCTATGCTATTACATAATATAAAAGTTAGCATGTACAAACAGTGTGATTTTTAACAACCTGCTACTAACAAAATATTAGGAATCTTTTCCTCAGAATTTGCATTATAAACTTTAATTTATATAGCCCTCTCTTTTTCATAAATAATCAAGGATAACTATATTTTCTTGTATTTAATGCAGAAATCACTTGAAGGCAGAAATTATACTTTCTGTGTTATAGGAGAGGAAACGGGCTCATGCAGATTAATTGTGTCCAAGTTCACACGGGAAGTTTTATAGAGGCAAGGTGCAAGTCTAAGTCTTCTGACCTCTGGCTCATTGTTTTCACTGCATCACCGGAGCGTGATAGAAACTAGATAATACAGACTAGTATCTACATATTTTTATACATTCATGACAACTGTTTCTTCTTTTGTCAATATTTCTAGGCTATATTGTTGTCTGTGAGTGTTTTCAACTGCGGTGTGTTCAAAGGACAATTGTAGTTGGTCAGTGCCTGTTCTAGACTGGCATTTTCATTTTTTTATGTATGATATCTGTCTGGTTCACTACTGAATCCCTAATGTCCGGCTCTCATTAGGCCCTCAATACATTATTCAGTTAATGAGTCAATGAATGTTCATAATGACATAGTGGAAAAAAGTACACTTGAAGATAAAAGGTTAAAAAATAAATGTGTCTTTCAGGAAGAAAAAAGTAACTAGAGAATAGGGAAGAGACTAGAGCTTGGGGGTAGACATGTGTGAAGGAAAAGGAAGTTAGGAGGCATTTCACAATTAGAAAATCCCTATACTTAAAAAATCATGGGAAGTTTCCGGGCTATTGTCTTCTTGCCCTCCCCTCTTCTCCCTTCCCTTCCCCTCCCCCCTCCCCCTCCCCTCCCCTCCTTTTTTCTCCCTCTTTCTCCCCCTTTCTCCCTTTTCCCCTTTCCCTCCCCTTATCTTTTTTCTTTCCAAAAGGACAATATAGACAGAGAGATGCCCATGGGAGGAAACCTGGGTGGTCTTTACTCAAAGCAGTAATACTGACTAAAAGCACCAAGGTCAAGTTCAATTTTTTCTTTAAAAAACATTTAAAGTTTTGCCTCAAAAGAAGTCCATTTCTATACTTCAACACTCTTCAAAGACTTACAATAGAGCTTTCAAAATATTTGAAATAACGTGTCTATTTAAAGTTGTCAACTAGCTCAAGAGGTGTTACTAATAGCACCAAACAGTTACTGAAAATTAATTCTTCCGTGCAACTGTAATTTTTAAATATATCAGATATTTATTGCTGAGAGATAAAATTTGCTCTTTTAGTTCTATGATTTTCATTTTCAACACAACTTTTTTGGGCAACAATATTTTTGTAAGCCGAACAGAAAAATCTAATATTTAGAGTGAAGAAGTCTTAGCAGCTCATTTCTTTTCTTTTTTTAAAAAAAGAGACTACACAAATGTCATTTAAAACAAAAATATGACTTCTCACTGGTGACTATTAAACTGTGTTTCAGTTTTTATGTCATGTTACTTGTTCATAGTAAACACTGACTGAGTGAGTCAGAATATAATATACAGCACTGGAGTTTCATCCTAGTGTGCTTCAAGGGGGCTTTAGAAATCTTAGCCCAAGGTCCTTTGAGCTGCGTGCAGCATCATGGAAGAAACACAACAAAGACAGAAATACAACCGTTGTGAACCCAAGGAGAAAATTCCCATTAGTCTTCAAGGAACTCCTTCAGTGTGGAAAAGTATATTTCTACGTGTGGAAAAGACATTTGCAGGTCTTTTGTATGTGGTCCTAACTTTTTAAATGTGTTTCTTTCTCTCTCAGCGTTTGTCAAATGTATTTGAAGTTCATTCAATCCACTTGGGCTGCATTTTGAAACTGGCTTATAGAAATTTAAGCAGACAGTACCCGTTAACATTAATAAAATTCCTAAGGCAAAATTCCCCCACACTGCAATAGCTCAGTATTAACCTAAGCATGAGGTTATATTTTACTAAATATTTAGAGAATAGTCCTTAAAAAAAATCCCAAATGCTATTTCAGTAACAGAATTTTATTAACCACATAAAATTGAAATCGTACAACTACCAGATTTGAAGGCCAGATGCAAAAGCTTTCTTGTGAAATTTCCCATCAGAATTGATTGGTATGTTTTTCTCATTGCATTTCTTCTTTTTTTAACTGGGTTTATAGGCACAGCACTTGTGGTCCAGTGGGACCATGTACATCTCCAGGATAATTATAACCTGGGAAGCTTCACGTTCCAGGCAACCCTGCTCATGGATGGACGCATAATCTTCGGATACAAAGAAGTAAGTAATGTATTAATAAATTATTTCCCTTCCCCTTGTTCTTGACTGCTGTCTTTCCTCCAAGTGTCAAGAAAATGACATTTTACAGTCATGACCCTCAAATCATTTTCTTGCCTCTTGGTTTCTTTTGCTTCATAAGAAATATTTGAGTTAGTTTTAATTTTCTGGGTTCATTGATTGTTAGCTCTTTGTTTTGTATTCTGATATTGTTGGCATAAGGACCCATCAATTTCATAAAATTATTCAGTAATTATATGCTAGTGGTATTAGAGTGAAATGTCTCTAAGAAAAATAAAATCCAATTTGGAGGGATTTCTCATCTAAATCTAAATGTTTATATTTAAATATTTTGTTAGGTTTTTTTCCACCTTGTTAATTTCTGTGATATATTTTGGTTCTAATTTCAAAAGCATTTGTAGGCATGAAAACTTATGTGGCTCAATGACCCAGTACTGAGAGAGCTCCAGGACAGCTGAGCTTACAATCCCTTGGCTAATGTTTATTGAAACAGGATAAGAAAGATTAATTAGAGACCTAAGTGATAGAAAGAACAAGGGAGTTTAAACTTATGGTTTGTTTCATTTTAACAAATTGACAAAGTAAAGAATGCACATTTACTGAATTGTAACCTTAAATTTACAGAATATTTAGACTAGAATAATTGTGTGTTTGATTTCAAACTCTTTTGACAAAGTAATTAAGGTCTGTTAGACAAAGAGTATAGGAATAAAGTTCTAAGAACTGCAGATGTAATGTTTTAGATGGTGTCTAATTATGAGAGAAGCCTGGACCATGAGAACTAATAATGAGCATTATTAACCTACAGGTTAAGGGGCATTTATAGTAATACAGACTCAATACATTGTTTTCAACTGAGAGATTACTTTTTCTTTGAGAAATGAATCCCAGATTATAAAAGGGATGTTGAGGATAAAGAAAGAATTCACTTTGGTCAAATCTTCTGAAATCCATCTATTCCAAAAAAGTGAAACATAATTTAATTACAATTAAATAGGCCAACTTTAAAAAAATTATATAACCATGTCAACTATTTCTATTCCTTTAAAACATTTTAATGGAGTTTTTCATTTACTTGAGAGCCATTGTGTAAATAGGATGTAATTATAGGATATGTCCTTCTCTGTGTTTCTTTATCCAAGCTTATGGGTTTTTTTTTAAAAAATTGTTTTTGAGGTTCAGAAGTACATGTGAAGATTTGTTATAGAGGGAAACTCATGTCACAGGGGTTTTGTTATGCAGATAATTTTCTCACCCAGATACTAAGACCAGAACCCAACAGTTACTTTTTCTTATCCTCTCCCTCCCCGTACCCCCCACCCTCAAGTAGACCTCAGTGTGTGTTGTTCCGTTCTTTGTCTCATGTATTTTCATCATTTAGCTCCCACTTATAAGTGATAACATGTGGTATTGGGTTTTCCATTCCTGCATTAGTTTTCTAAGGATAACGACCTCCAGCTCCATCCATGTCCCTGCAGAGGACATTATCTCATTTGGTGTATGACTCCATAGTGTTCCATGGGATATGTGTACCTGATTTTCTTTATCCAGTCTATCATTGGTGGGCATTTTGGTTGGTTCTATGTCCTTGCTATTATAAATAGTGGTGCCATTATAATATGCTGCAGTTAACATACACATGCGTGTGTCTTTGTGGCAGAATGATTTATTTATTTATTTTTAAATTAACAGACTAATTGAGAGTAGTTTTAGATTCACAGCAAAATGAGGCAGAAAATACACAGAGGTTGAACATACTCTTCTTCCCCTGCTGAACATCCTCCCCCATCATCAACATGCCCCTCCAGAATGGTACATTTGTTGCAACAGATAAACCTACATTGACACATCAATATCACTTAATGTTCTTAGATTACATTAGCGTTCCCTCTTGATGCTGTATTTTCTAAGGGTTTTAAGGATGTGTAATGTCATGCATCCATCATTATAGTGTCATACAGAATCTTCCCTGCCCTAAAAATTCTCTTTTCTCTACTCATTTTTTTATTTCAATAGGTTTTGGGGAAACAGGTGGTATTTGGTTATATGAATTTATATTATTTTGGCTATATACCCAGTAATGGGATTTCTGGGCTGAATGTAGTTTTACTGGTGAGGTTGTAGAGAAAAGGGAATGCTTATACACTGCTCATGGGAGTGTAAATTAGTTCAGCCATTGTGGAAAGCAGTGTGGTGATTCCCCAAGGAAATAAAAACAGGGCTATGTTTTTTATACCAGAGCCCACCATATTTTTATGTCACACTCCCTGGAAGCTGAGGGAATATTTCTCAAAAGGGTTCATTCATTTGTAGTTTTCATTGCAATCTAGTATATTGCTGGAACTGCACAGTGATGTTTTACAATGTTAGTTTTCAATGGTTTCAAACAGCAGTAGTCAAGTTTCTGGAAAGACACAGAGTCAGTAAGTTTGGAGTCTTAGGTCTCACCAACTGGAGGCTTTGTCAAAACAGAGGTTTGTGTTCTTATTGTGGTTTCTCTTACCAGCTATTATTATCAAAATTGTCATCTTTTTATACTGTTCTCAAAGGATAACTCACATTGCAGAGTAACAGTTGATTCTTCCTGTTCTTTCTTCTAGGTTAGTATTTTTAAAGGCCTTTTCTTTTCTTCATTTTTATCAAAGAAAAACGTTCCATTACAGTTTTCCTGTTTTGTCCTGGGGAGTTTCAAGATGACAGGCAAATTTAACGCTTTCTTGATATTCCCAGGCGCTTATCCTGAAGAATGTCTTCCTTCTGCACTTGGAGTTCATATAAGTCATTTTTAGTTATTTGCCTTTCTGCTCTTTTTATGTCCTAGATAGAAAGCAGCTTCTACTTTTCTAGCATACCTCTTTTTTCTTCTCAGTAATTCTTATATATTTTATTTTGCTAAGGCAAATTGTTATTTGTAAAATTTGTCAAAATAGAGTCCTCTTGCATTCGGGTGAGAGCTAGAAGCTCCTCACACTGCTAGAAAAATATTCCTAAACATGATACCATAAAATAGTAGCTTGCATCATGTATTATCATTTACAAGACACTTTCACATGCATTATAGTGTTCAATTCTTCAACAATTTCCTATAGCCTTAATATCTTAAGCATTTTACAATAGCAGTGGTACATAGAAGCTGTTCAATAAATGTTTATGACTTAATTATGGAAATAGATCATACATGATTATCTTCATTTTATAGCTGAGCAAGCTGAGTCAGAGAGATTAAATGACATACTTGAGGTCACAGAGCTCGTTAAGGACAAATCCAGAGTCAAAAACTTTAATTTGATGATCCTAAGACAGCTCGACCATTTTTCCTGCCTAAAGAGATTATGTATAACAATTCACAAATCTATGTCTCATTTGTTTTTCTAATAAGTATTTCTTAATATTTGCTCTTTAAGAATCTTTATTATTAGATTGTTTTCATATCACACAATTACAAGTATAGTCAGGAGAGGTATTCCTACTTCATTTGTAGAGCTAACCAAATTCTAAGAACATATGATTACAAGGAGTATAATTTTCTGTTCCTGTCCAAGCTAAACTTACGGAATTATAGACAGGGAAGTAAGTGTAATTCTTTCTGTAATAAGTTTCTTCTAATAAGCTAACACCAGCTTTGTTTTGTTTCATTATATTTTATGTGAGTAAGAAGAAAAATTCTGATTTACACGAAACCCACCACCATTTTGGGACTTGTTTTAAAATTGTAAATTACAATTACAATTAAATTTTACATTAAAATTAGTAATGGATTGAATAAATTTAGTTAAAAAAATTTCATTTTCAGTGCCTTCATGAAATTTTTCGCAGTATTTCAATGTGCTAATCATGCCAAGCACGTACATGACCTCCAATCCTTTCATTCTGCAAATATTGTCATTTCTTCAATAGCATAATTTTTTGCAGTGCAGACTAAATGATGAATGATTAATAAATAAGAAAATACATTTATACTTATAACAATCTTACTTATAATTGGATTGAAATAGGGAAGTACGACTGCTGCTTCAAATAAGAGTGAATACAGATCTGCTCAAAATATTCAATGTTTCTTCACCAAGATCCTGTTGTTTTCTGTAATCACATTGTAGAGAGGAATTGTGAAGGCATGGATTCCTTTAAATAATTAAGTTATTTTTCCTGAGGCTATAGCTCTGTATTGTGCAACCAAAGATTTGAAATTCTGTTTTAAGCTATGGAGCCTTATTGTTACATAGCTGCATATCTTAATTAACTTCAAAGATAGAGTTTGCTTAGAATTCAGCCAAAACACAAAAAGAATAATATTTTTTAAAGTTCTTCTCCTCAAATCCCCAACTGTTCATTATAATGCATTTTTCAATTTTAGGATATCCAGTTGTTTTTTAGAGAGATTGAATTACCTGATGAAATTAACCATATCATCTGTTTTCTTGACTATACTAATAATGATTATTTTAAAGCTTGTGACTAGTAGCTCCAATATCTAAGTGAACTGTGGGTCTGTCTCCATCACCTGTTTTCTTCTTATTTCCTCTAGATTTTCATTCATTGGCATGTTTCTTTGAATGCTAGGTGATTTTTTTAAAATAAAATATCGGACATTGTTTACAAAGGACCAAAGTACTTTCAGGATTGACAATGTTCCCTTCCTATGAAACAGTTTATTTTTTTGGCTGTTAGTACAGGATGGATCACTTTAATACTGTACAGCTAGGCCCATTCAAAATTGAGCATCAGTCCTTATGAAGGCCAGAACATTTCCGGTAAGACCTTATTCTTCTAGTCCTTCAGGGAGCTCCACTAAAGATTTGGATATTTACTATGGACCTTTTTCTTAGTGGCCCTGAATGCATATATTTTTCTTCAGCTCCATGAGACAGCCCAAAGGCTGTGTGGAAAGGCAAATCATTCTTACCTGTGATCACAAATGGCTATGATATGATTGATATAATGTGATGTGCTAAGCTATGGAATGAAAATGACTAGCCAGGAAA